AATCGCTAACTCGCGAGAGAGATCAATAATGGATTTTAAGGAGAGAAGCGGAGGAAGGCAAGAAAGTGCAAACTGAGAGCAGCTGGACTGCTCCCGCTATTTATAGCCCGCGTTTTGGCGCGCTCGGCGCAGCAGATGCGCGAGGATTTGATCCGCGCCTATTGATCTGTGATCGGAGAATCGCGGTGTTTCCGCGATACTCCGCCCCCTTTTGGACGAGTCGACATGGGCTCAGAGAGCTCTGCGCAGTTCTTCCAGACGTCTCAGGATCTGATCGGCGGTGATCTCGTAATCGCGTTTTCGAGCCAGAATATCCAAGGACTCTTCTGGTAACGTGCATACTGCGGAGGCGTGTCCGGCTTTATGGCAGTGATGGCATCTTTTGCTGTATTTCGGGCAGAAATAGCCCATATCGCATTCTATGTCCAGGCAGATGGTACAGCGTCTTCTTCTTCTCAGTGATTCCAATCTCTCCTCCACTGTCCGGACTTCGGGGCAGGAATCGGAATAGTGCCTGCCTTCAGCAAAGCAGAAAGCGCATCGCATCGTTGTCTCTTCTTCACGTGTGATTCCTTCTTCATATTGTCTAGGACGACATCTTCGGAGAGCGGCAAGTTCGCGTATCTTGTTGTGGACTTCCTTCAGTTCTTGCTCGAGATGATGGATCTCTTCGAATATAGACTCTTTTTCTTCATCCGGTGGTTTGTGGTTGATTACTTCTTGGACAGACTGCGCTCCATGAACTCTGCCCATTTTTCTGCGTAGCGATTCTCGCTTGTTGAATTTGCTGAACTACGCATACAGATTGTCTTGCACTTCCTCGCAACTGGTCGAGTTCTTCCTTGATTTCCTTCAGGGAGTCGCAGATTCGCTTGTTCGAGACATCTTGGCGGTACCGCTCTTGTTGTAGACATTCTGCTCGAATATCCTTTATCTTCGTGAACAGCTCCTTGATAACTTTTCTTCGGTCGGTCAGGATCCGCTCGATTGCTTTTTGTGAAGTTGGTAACGTGAACTTCCTTCCAGACGTGTTCGTATACTGCTGAGGAGTGCTCATTTGTGAGTCCCATGCCTTCTCGGAGATCATATTCATAGAGATAATAACGGGAACAGTCGAGTAGAAGAGAGAGAGTTGCTTTCGTAGAAGATGCAATCTTAGAGAATAGTTTTCAACAGTCAACTCTTTGATGCGGGCTTCGCGCTCTAGGATTTTCCAAGGTTCATTGTTATCGAAGAAATAAGAGATATCTTCTTTAAGATTATCAATGAGATCGACGAGATAGAGTACTTCACTACAGCAATGAACTATGTCTTGATATAGTTTGTCCGGTGTTGGCAGTGGCGGAAGTGCTGACTTGATCTTTTCTAGTTGAGCTTGTGCTTGTCGGAAGTTCTTTCTTCAGGTCTGCAATTTAGTGTTACTGGGAAGTTGTCGAAAAATCGAGTAAGTTGTCAGTTGTTTGGATCGTCATTTCGATTCGCATTCGCATTTGCAAAACTGGGAATATTCTTGAGAAAATTCGAGTTGTGACTGAGTGGCTTCGAAAAAGGTTTTTTCTTTTTTTTTTCTTCTCTTTTCTTTTTTCTCTTTTTTTTTCGTCGCGCAGTTTTTTTTTCACAATTCTTTTTTTCTTTTTTTCTTTTTTTTTTCTTTTTCTTGTTTTTTTTCTCCCATGTCGTTTTTTTTTTTTTTTTTCTTTTTTTTTTTTCTTTTCTTTTTTTTTCTTCTTTTTTTTTTTTTTTTTTTCTTTTTTTTTTTTCCTTTTTTTCTGTAAAATCTTCGTGGAAATAGTTAATGTGGCTTTCGTTCGAAGTCGCAAGTAGCACCATTTTTTCGTTGAAGAAAATATCGCACTTGCATAAAATGAAGGAGAGAGTGAAGTCGTGAAAAAAAAATCGCAAAAAAGGTGGAAAAGTATTCGCGAAAAAAAGTGAGAAAATGTTCGTAAAAAGAATTCGCCACGAACACACGGCACCACAACACAAAAAACCAAACAACACCGAAATCAAACGTGTGGGACGGAAAAAATAATCGCTCACAAAAAGTGAAACTGCATAGAGGCGCAAAAGTTTGAATAAAAAGAAAACTAATCTTAATAATAGATAAGTAAAAAATATCGCATAAGAATTTCAGAAATATAGAGATAGATAATATAATAAATAACTATAATATATATATATAGAATAGATAAAAACGCCTATATTATAATGACATTACATGTGACATATGCAAATCGAAATCCGCTTTGAAGTCACAGTTCAACTTGCTTGAAACTTCTCGCTCGCTAAGGTGTCGCACGGAAATCGGAACCCCAGCTTGACTCCTTCATTCAAATAAAAAGAATGAGAATTCTACTGATTAGATCTATTTTCTTGAAGTGATTGACGTAGAGAAAAGTGTGTTCGCAAAATACTATCAGATGAAAATCAAGGGAATAAATATGAAGGTTTCAGTCAAAGGCTCATTGCGGACTCGCAATCGCAATCATATCGCTATAGGTGACTTTCTTACGAGGACGTAAATTATACGGATCTTCTGAAGGTCTATGATTTTCGCTTTTCGCACTGAAATTTTGTTCTTCGCAATCGATCTCCATGGGTACGATGAGGTTAATAGGTCTTCTGATTCTTCGTCTACCAGAAGTGAGTAGCTCCACTTCCCTAACTGCCCCATCCAACGATGGTTTGAGGCCAGTTATGCGTGCCAGCTTCCACTCATTTCGTGGCAATATAGGATCGGTGATAAGGACAAGTGATCCTTTCTTGGGTTCTGAAGAGTTAGAACGGCCTTGAGATATTTTCACTTTATGTTGTTCTCGCAAACTTGTTAAGTATTGCTCTCGCCAAATCGTCCAAAACCGATTTGTAAATTGAATGGATGAATGAAGAGCACTTACTGCCTGTTGCCGAGTTTCCAATGATGATAGTTCATTGGCGGGCAGGTAATCTGGATCAGAAGTGTTGTCCTCTATATCTTCGAGTGGAAAAGTGAGATTAATACGGTTTTGAACAAAATCAATCGGTCTCAAGGAGCTAAATTCTTCGTAGTCCGACTCCTGGTAGGTTAATGGGCGTGTATTGATAGTAGCTTCAACTTCTGTAATAATAGTTCGAAGATTATCAAATGAGAGTCTTGCTCTCCCAATAGATTTGTGAACAAAAAGCGCCTTATGAGGTATTGGACAAGAGGTTTATGCAATCTTCTACAAGCTTCTTCCTCTGCCATGGGTTTCGTAAGGAGTTATATTTTGTGCTCCAGTTTAATACCGCGACTTTTTTGGTTTCCAGGAGAATAAACTGAGAGAAGAGACTTTATCGCTGTGTCTCGCACGGCATGAGCTGCCGCAATTAAAGAAAAATTCTGCATGACTCTCACACCTAGATTGAGAAAAGTGGTCGAGCAAGGCATTAGATACACCATTGCTGTATTTCTGAGAAAGAGAAGAGATGCATATCCGCAGGGCATTCGTCAGGTCAATAGGAAGGCAGATTTTATCGTTGTAAAACGGCATTTGAGCAAAAAGCTTTTTGCGTACAAAACTCCATGATGCGCATAGTGGGTGGAAAAAAGCTGCATTCTTCCTAGGGTGAACCATTCTCGTGACTCCGCACGTGAATATGCAGCCGTATGTTTTACTTAGTTCTCCCGCTTCGGAGTCTCTCACAGGTGGCAGGTCGAAGAAATCTATGCCGATGTTTTCGAATGGTCTGGTTTCCTGGACTCGTTGAGACGGAAGGTCTGGTGTTTCCGGGTAGCGGTAAGGTGACGCATTAAAGCGTCTACACCTTACGCATTGAGTTGTAACTTTTCGTGCCTGCTGTCGCAGTTTCGGTATCCAGTAATTCTCTCGAACTGTAGCCATAATATGGGCCACTCCCTGATGAAATTTGCCATGAGCCTCCTTTATGATTTTCAGAGCCATCTCGCTTTTTGGGACGATGAATATTGGGAATTTCGCATTTTCATTCAGAGATGTTTTTCCCAAACGTCCACGAGCTCGCCATAATCCTTCGGCGTCTCGGAACAGATTCAGGGTTTTGCTCATAGACTTTATGTATTCCTCAGAAAGTAACGATGACTGATGGTTTTTGATAATCGCATGTTTTGCACAGCGAATCTCTAGTCCGTTAGGGGACCCGACGCTCCCAGTGATTGTCGTAGTTCTGGGATTTGTTTTAGAATGCGTCTTGTGGTTGCATTTGACAGTTGTGCTAAAGATTTCCCCAGAAATCTGAGGATCCATGCCATCACACGCGTTCCTTTGTAAAGGCTACTGTATCGATGTAGAGGGAATTGTTCAATGCCCTCACTTTCTGCTGTAAAGGCTGATATGGAACCTATCACGTCCATAGTTTGATCTGAGGTGCTAGGATCCGTTATTCGGAAGAGTGATGATTGCCAGGTAGAAGCGTCTTGTTGCAAAAATTCGGTCCACTCCACCACATGCTTGCTTCCAGCTGGTCTTTGGAGAGCCCTCTGGTGCCTGCGTCTGCAGGGTTGGTTGCTGTCGGTACATAACCGTAATGTACTGTCGTTCCTATTTCGTCCAAGGCAGATATTATTTCTCGAATCTCTCTGATTCGGTTACGAATTAGAACTCCCCGATCGGATTTTCCGGGTGAGCTTTCTAGCCAACTGAGTACAATTTGAGAATCCGTGAAAATGAACACGTTTTTGATGGGTCCAGTAGACTGATGCAATGCTTTGCAGACGGATCGTGCTAGTCTTGTAGCCATTGTTACGGCATTCATTTCTAACTTTGGTATTGTCATTTTAGACTTTATGGACGGCAGTTTTGATTTTGCCATCAGCAATGAGGATTTTCCATCGCCAAAGGCGTAAGCACATGCTGCCATTGCATTCTCACTCGCATCAGCAAAGATCGCTATCTCGAAAGTTCTTTGCAGAATTTTCCGACGAACGGATCTTTGAAATCCACTAGAATTCTCTCGTATTTTCGCCCACGAGTTGCTCAAGGTTTGCGACAGTTCTTGGTCCCAGCCGTAGCCGTCCAACCATAGCTTCTGTTGGAAAAGTTTATGTGGAATTAGAAGGGGGACCATCCATCCTAGCGGATCGTAAATGGAGGAGAGATTTGTTGAGCAACGACTCGCTTAGTGATTTTCGGGGCATC